AAGAAAGCAATCGAGATCATCTAAAGGATGTGGCTTTCTCATTAGCGACTACCAGAAACCATTACCGACGGCGAAGAGTAGTCATTGCCGAAGATAAGGCAGAGCTCATATATAAACTAGGTTCCATGGCGAGGACAAGTGAATATACGGCCAATCCATGTATAGCTGTTCTTTTCACTGGCCAGGGAAGCCAAGTTGCTGGTATGGGAAAAGATCTTTACGACATCTACCCCGTGTTCCGCAACGCTATAGACAAGATAGCGGATCATTTTACCGAACTAAAAATGCCGTTGAGGGAGGTAATGCACGCCACTCCGGATAGCGAGGCTGCTGCACTTTTGCAACGAACAGACTTTGCGCAACCAGCGCTCTTCACGTTGGAAGTGGCTCTTTGGCATCTTTGGAAAAGTTGGGGTGTAGGACCGAATTACATCCTCGGTCATAGTGTAGGAGAGCTGTCAGCGGCGCATGTCAGTGGGATCTTGGACCTCTCAGACGCCTGTCGTTTGGTCGCCGCACGTGGTCGGTTGATGCAAGCTGTTCCAATCCGTGGCAGTATGGTTGCATTAGAGGCTAGTGCAGAAGAGGTTTCAAGAGCGATAGATACCATTGGGGTTGTCTACAAGGTCGATATTGCAGGCCACAACACGCCAACGCAAACTGTGGTATCTGGCGATTGTGACGCTGTTGACAAGTTGGTGACACACTTTACTGGTATGGGACGCAAGAAGAACGTACTTGATGTATCGCACGCCTTCCACTCGCACCACATGGACTGCATGCTTGCAGCATTTCAAGCTGTGGCTGAGAGTGTACAATTCCACCCACCAAAATTGCGGATAGTGAGCAGCCTGACCGGCAAGCTCGTTCAGGCGGATGAGCTCCAACAACCAGACTATTGGGTTTCACAGGCACGCGGCGCCGTGCGTTTTGCGGATGGCATCCAGACACTTGATCAGCAGGGTGTTAACATATTTCTTGAGATGGGGCCGCAAGCTGTTTTGACCGGACTGGGAGCGGCGTGCCTTGGAGCCGATCAATCAGTTGCCTGGTTGCCATCACTAACCACCCGGAAGCCTGGCACGTGGACGATTCAAAGTAGCCTTGCAGAGATGCACGAGCGCATGGTACCTATAAGCTGGCATACATACTTTGAGCCTCTGGGTTACTGTGAGTGGGTGGAGCTGCCGACATATGCATTCCAGCGAGAACACTTTCCTCATACTCGTGGCGATTTCAATACTAGTAGTGTACAACAAAACGGCCAGAGCCAGCACCAGACTCTCAGTGCTGTGGATCGACTTGCATTTGAAGTATCATGGCAGCAGGCTGATACTTCGAATCTGACCAAAGGCGGCTCATGGGGCTTGCTGTGTGCGAATTCGGATAAGAAGCAAGGATGGGTAAGACGAGTGGAAGCGGGCCTGGTGTCTGCTGGTCTGAACCTCCACCGGATTGAGCGGCTGCAGGATGGCCGAGGGCTTGACGGGGTGCTGTGTCTGTGGAACGCAGAAACGGACTCTGATGATGTCGCAGGCCAGGCACGAGAACTGACCTTTAAGGGGCTGGCACAATTGCAGGATGCCGTGAGCACACAGTTCATACCACAGCTGGTATGGGTGACGCGCCAAGCGGTCGGTGTTAGCGTGAATGCACGTGACGAACACCATGAAGGGGCGGGATTGGCCGCCGGGCCGTTATGGGGCCTAATGCGTACGGCCCGCAGCGAACATCCCGACTTGCCTCTGCGCCTCATCGACGTTGACTACCACTACGAAGACAACAATGACAACGATGGCATCGACGTTGATGCTCTCGCGGCGGCGCTGGCGCTCAGAATGGAGCCTGAATGCGCAGTGCGCCACGGACAGGTCCTAGTGCCTCGTTTACAACCTATCTCTCTACCACAAGAACTGCCACCCCCTGTTCAGCAGCAACAACCTATGGTCCGTCCAGATGGAGCCGTTATCATCACAGGCGGGTTAGGTGATCTCGGTGCAAGAGTTGCGCGATGGCTGGCGAGCACACATGGCGTACGTAGTCTGGTGTTGACCTCGCGCCGTGGAATGGCAGCGCCGGGTGCGCAGGCGCTCGTGAATGATCTTGCTGCGCTAGGTGCAGAAGCTACCGTCGTTGCTTGTGACATGGCGGATTGCCAGAGCGTCCAGCAACTCATGGCCATGTTTGACAATGGCAAGGCACCTCTACGCGGCGTGGTGCACGCCGCCGGCGCCCAAGACAATGGTGTCCTCCGGGCCTTGACGCCGGAGCGATGCGCCACCGTCTTTGCTCCCAAGGTAGACGGAGCCTGGCACCTACACCAACTAACCCAGCATCTCAACCTTGACTTCTTTATCATGTTTTCGTCCATATCGGGCGTCTTGAGTATGTCTGGGCTTGCCAACTACGCTGCAGCAAACACCTTCTTGGATGCCTTGGCATATTTGCGTCGTGCCCAAGGTCTACCCGCCACGTCTGTAGCTTATGGCCCCTGGGAGGGTGATGGCATGGCAGCCAACATCATCGGTCCCACTCGAGCACGTCTCGCTCAATCTGGCCTTGACTTGCTTGCCCCGGAAGACGGTTTGGCGTTACTTGAACACGCTGTGCGCAGTCATCGAACTCTGACTGTCGCCGCTGCCTTGGACCAGCCTCGTTTGAAGAACTACCACCAGGAACGAGGCGAAAACCCTCCGTTCCTGCATTCTCTCCTCAGCGGTGGCAACACAGTTGTGCAACAACTGCTTCCAGGGTACCATCTGCGTAAGGAGTTACTCCATGCAGACCTCGAGCAACGCCCTCATCTCATGTTGAGCATGCTTCAAAACACTGTGGCCAAAGCACTGGGCTTCACAAAACCTAGTGACGTCCATGTCGATAAGCCTCTTCAGGATATTGGCATCGACTCGTTGACTGCGGTTTTGATACGCAATCAACTCGCTAACTTGACAGGCATGCCATTGACCGCCAACATCACATTCCAGCATCCCAACCTCAAAGCCCTCGCTCACACCTTGCTGTCCGACCTGAACTTGGATGACAGCGAATCTGGTTCCTCGCTTGGGAGTAGCACCGCCACTACCACGCTCATGTCTGACATGGTCCCGATTCTTGACCTCGAAGCAATCAAGAGAGGTTGTGTCGATCCCAGCTTCACTTTTAAGAATACATTCAAGGCCCCTACAACCCCTTCGAATGTGTTCATCACGGGTGCCACGGGTTTTGTTGGTGCTCACATTACTCATGACCTGTTGGAGCTTGGCACTGCCGTCTACTGCTTAGTACGTGCCGAGACCGACGACGAAGCTATGGAACGTTTGACGGCGACTCTGGCCAGCTACAGCCTTTGGAACTCGGAATATGCACCACTTCTCCACCCTGTTGTAGGAGATATGTCCCAACCTCTTTTTGGCTTGCCCGAACACAGCTTTGATTTCCTTGCAGATCACGTAGATGCCATATGTCACTCAGGCGCACTCGTAGACTGGATGCGCCCGCTCCAAGACTATGTCGGACCCAATATAGTGAGCGCGCATGAAGTGCTGCGCCTGGCCTCGCAGGGCAAGGCTAAAGCAGTCCATCTTATTTCCACAATGTCCACAATACCCAAGTACATGGGCTACGACGTGAAAGAAGGAGATCAGGAATATGGATATGCTACGTCAAAATACGCGGCTGAGCGCATGATGGCTGCGGCACATTGGCGTGGTGCCAAAGTATCCGTCTACCGCCTGCCTTTTGTCACCGCATCATCTACCACTGGTCGCTTCCGCCTCGACCGCGGTGACTTTCTACATCATTTCATCGCCGGTTGTGTGGAAATGGGTCTCTTCCCATCCATCGACGCCAACCTTGCCGCCGTGTTACCTGTTGACTATCTGTCCAAGACCATAGTTACCATGATGACCAAGGACCTGCATCTCATCGGCCAAAACTACGACTTTGCCAATGCGCATGCACCCACCTTTAGCCACTTCTTCCAGCTCATGAGTGACGCAAGTACTGGCCAGCAAATCGTGCCATTTCTCGTTTGGAGAGAAAAAGCTCTCGACTATGCAATGGCCCACAGGTCGAGTCTGATTGCCCGCATCACAGCGCTGATCGACGCTGTTGTTGACGACAAAGGCGCGACTGCTATGGTTACTGGACCGCCCTTGAAGGATAATGTTCTAGGTTCTTCCCAATTCCCGGCGCCTTTGGTAGATGTTGATTTTGCAGAAAAGTATGTTCATTGTATCAGTACTTGTGCTGGTTAGGATGGGTGCTCGAAAATATATAGATTGACCTCAACTATGCAATAAAGCTGAAGATAAAGCTCGAGGAGCAGATCCGATGTTCCAGTAAAGCTCAGCGAAATCGTGAACATAGCCACAATATTTGTGGCGGTTTGGGTGGATCTAGCTCATATTGGATTGATTGCGACACGGAGACAACAAGCCCATGAGTAGGTAGATGTGGAATGATTCTGGACCAGCTGGATCTTACCGGACTTGCCTGTGGCCCTCAAGAAGCGGGATGAGCGATATGGTGTTACTGTAAGATGGTGGATAAAGTTTTCGCAAAATGCACTGGTAAACATCTTATGTCGCAATTTCGACATCTGAGACGTACACCAGAGTACCACCAACGAGCGGTTAGTGGTCTTCACTCCAAAGTCAAACAGTGGAATGATCTCAGCATACTATCATGCTATATTCTTTTTTCCTCCAAGTCGTCCTTCAGCCGTAAGGCTGAGTACTCCTGAGTACTCAGCCTCGCTTGGCTACACCAATCAGAGGTTGAGATTAGCGCCACAACTGCCACATCTTTGGTCTGTCCGCTAAACGAGACCCGTTTTTCTTGAAAGCTGTACATTTAGGGCTCAGGTGCTCTGGAAGTTTGGTTTCTGATGGCGCATGGTACGCTGCGCGAAGCGCATTGTAAGATAGAAATCCCCCCTCATCGCACCCCAGCGACTTCTACCTCTAATCTTCACCTTGAAGCAAATTGCCTTACTCACAATGTCATATCACGGGTCTTGGATCTTTTCTGTTGCTATATTGGCGGATGTACACCTGCGAAGTGTCCGTGCTGACTGCTACTCTGGAGATCGTATGTATAGACATAACCCAAACAGGCTACAAGCAACTCGAGCTAAACATTAATTAGGCGTTTTGGCAAGCGAATCTCCATCATATCATAACCTCGAACCCTTCTCCTGCGGTGAAGGTACAAACAACTGCTGTGTTTCCGGTGAAAGATGTGGCAGCAACCTACTTTGTCATAACCCTATCTCCGATGTCTACAGCACTGGTTATTGCTTTGACCCTGACTGGACTAACTGTTCCCCCATTGTGTCAGGTAATGTCCACTACCCACCACTTCACAACGCATCCACTAAATCAGGCCCCTAGGGACTTCGAACGGGTGGATAGAGATGAAATATTGCGGGGACAATATATATTGCGACGGTTCGTTGAGTACCTGCTGCGATACTGGCTCAACATACTTCGTCGATCCCATGACAGGAGAGGTTAAGGATGCCAGCGAGGCCGACTCAGTTGCTTCCGCAATCTGGTGGGATTTGACGAATACGAGTTCACCTGCTACGTCTTCTACTATGTATCCGGAGTCCACAAGCTCTATCACCACTTCTTCTGCGTCTGAGACTAGTACCACATCTACGAGCTCGGACTCAACGCCACCATCATTATCTCTGATCCCGCATCCAGCACCACCTCCATCTACTCGCCTGTCTCCTGGCGCCACCGCAGGAATCGGCGTGGGATGCGGAGTCGCAGTCATTTCAGTAGGTATCCTTGCGTGGCTGCTTATCCGTCGGCGAAAGAAGTCCAAGTCGCAGAACGTGGTAGGGTATAGTGCCTATGTGCCACCCGAGCACCAGGTGAGCCCGGTGACAGTTGAAAAGTATCCCCAGATGAGTTATGTGCAGCCATATAGGGAACATGAGGTAACGCACGAGTTGGATGAGGGGCAACCGAGGGCAGAATTGCATACGACTGTCATGAAAGATAAGGGTAGCAAGCAGTAAGGGGCCTTCCATTAGTTTCTTATCATATCATATTCTACCTCTATCAGGTAGAAGTACTACTTCCGCTCATTCAGATATATCATGCGATCTTGATTCTTGGAATATACACCGTAGTCACATCAAATTCTCTGCGCACAACTGGTACCCTTTTTTCGTTCCGTAAGACTACTGCCTCTCAACAAAAATCTCTCTGAAAACCTACTGCTCGGTAGGTTAGGTGAAGTACTTGAGAGAGTGATAAGTGCAAAGGAAGGCAGAACAATCTCAATGCTGGGATTGTGCAACAGCGTGACTAAAAACTCAATCCGCCAAAACAAAACACTTCTTTGGATTATTTCATATCGAAGATGAAGATAGATTCAGTTCAGCTCCGGTAAGCAGCAGTTATCTCTTGAGTGATACCTCACTGAGAGTGGTAACTGATCAGGCTTTGTTGATGGCCGAGATTGACGGCCAACTTCCCTTCGGAACGTCCCGATATTTCCGATCGCTTCCGATAAACCACCCTAATCTGGATGCGGTATAGCATGGCACTGTGATACTGTTGTCCCCGCATCAAAACCAAACATATTGAAGCAACTACATCTCTCATCACTCGATTTTTCACAGATACACAATGAACGAATCCGTCAAAGAATTACACGACGATCTTGCCAGGAAATACCGACAGCATGGCAAGCGGGTCGAAGAAATGTGGCGTTCGCTCAGTCAGGAACAACGCAAAAAGATCATGGAGGCTGGCTCTCATGATGGTGCTGTCCTGAAGCATACTGAAGACACCGGCCTAGAGAATGTCTACAAGTTCATTCCCGAATGGAATCTACGTGACGTTACTTCACCATCATCAAACTTCTTCCTCGACATGCTCAAGCACCGGGCAACTTCACCGCTGCAAACACAATACACGACTGGCTTCAATGGGCGACCAGGAGATCATGCGCACATACTTGATATGATGCAGAGAAAGAATCTGAGACTAAATGACGTCTCCCAATATAAGGATTGTTATACACTTTTCTTGACGGAAGACGGGTACGGCGAATCAGTCAAGATTCTTGCTGAGAAGCAAGAAGTTCTTGCGAACATGAAACCAGCCATGCAGGCCGGGTTTATCGTACCCCAGGCCACCGGAGAGCTCATTCTGATGCGACAAATAAACCTGCTGCAGCTTCTCAACATTGCAATCGAAGACATCCTTGATACTGCGTCCACCACTCGAGCTCGGACGGAGCAGCCAAAGGTCAAAGAGGATACAACTGCAGCCCTGGCAAAGTTGTCAATACACTCACCTCCGAAAAAGGTAGAGCTCGTGGATCTCGTAGACATGGCGAAAGACCGCCTGTCGTCTTGCGAGGATCTGGTTGCTCTTATTTCGACTGAGCCCACAGTTCTAACTCATGAAGTCAACTTTTCTTTCTTCAGCCGACCGGAGCTGGTCGCCGATGAGAAAGGACGCATGCTACCTGTGCATACTGACAAATACATTAGCGGTGCTGTGCTGGAGGCGGTCCATGGCGCAGTGAAGATTGCTGCTACATGGTATTACATTGGCCGTCTCGTGGGTCTGCTGAAGGAGTCAACAGACAAGCAGTTCAAAGCGGTTGTTCTCAAAGAGCTCTCAAACACCTGCCACTTGGAGTATCTGCGCGCTCAGACTAGTTTCAAGCGCAGCCTAGCTGTTGGTATGGGCGGCAGTAAATGGTTCAAGCGCACGTCGACAAATGACATCGCGCGCCTCTCATTGAAACGAAATCCCGAGTCTTTGACGGCAGAGAACCCCCAACTACATTACATGCTTCGACTTTGTCAGGATGAGACCAACTGGTCAAATGCTACACAATGGCTTCAAAAGCTAGCGGACCTCCACCGAGCCCATCCACTGGAGCAAGACAACCTTTCAGAACGAGAGTATGACTCTCTGGGCGACCTTGCGATGATAATTACCTTCATCCAGTCTCTTTCCTCAGTCGCGCAGTTGCCTACGCCTAATCACAAGAAGAAACAACCATTTGTATCTGGCTACAGAGCTTTAGACAAAGAGTTCAGAGAGATGAAAAATGGTCTGGACCTCAGTGACTTCGCCATTCCAATCGACAACTTGCTCGAACCAGGCATGGCTGAAGGCACTCTTGGAAGACTCGATGAGTACATCGTAGAGAAGACCGGCACGAAGCTTGGTTTTCTCTATGAAGATCTAGTTGAAAGCTGTGTGTCCAACATCCATGAGCAGCACGAAGCACAGAAGGCTAAGTCTAAAGTTCCAACTCAAGACACGATGCTAGCAGCTCCCGAGAGCTCAGAATCGCCTGTCCAGCAGCGCAAACAGAAGGAAAAGACGCGACCAAGTCAAGCTTCAATATACGAGATCACACCACAAAGCGCCAAAGACGACCCGCCCGTTCAATCAATAGAAACTTTCAAGGTCAAACCCTCCACTGCTGACGTCTTTTTATCGTTATTCTCGAGATCGTCTACAGCTCGTAGCCCAGTTCGATGGGAACCCTTTGTAGCTGCCATGAATGACTTGGGCTTCTCATGTGAACCCAAGCTTGGCTCGATATACACGTTTGTCCCTTCGGATAAGACAGTAGTGCGCAGGGGTATAACATTGCATCGGCCGCACCAGGGAATCATTGAAGGACGGCTTCTTTTGGTCTTCTCTGGACGACTGAGAAGAGTATATGGCTGGAATAGCTCAACATTTGAGGCAGCGTAGGTTTTGATAGAGTAGAGCAGAGAATGAAGTATATTTTCCTCAAGGAGGTAGCTGGACGCAGAAGCAGATAATGACGCCAAGGACCGGAAACCTCACGAGGAACAGGAGGGTTCTGGTCACACCCTTGGGAAAGAATAACAAACAATCGATGCAAATAAGGGCGGGAGTTCCGCCAGGTCCGGGAGGCGGAAGAAAATCCTGTCTTACGTACGACTTGTATGTCGTCTGTAGAGCCGCGGAGCCAACGTATACGCACCACTGTTCAAATACCTAACACCACCACTTTACCTAGATACAAGCTTCCGAAATAAGCCCAAAATCATGAGCTTGCTCACACCTTGTGGGAATAGCGTAAATCTAAACAATTACATTTTCGCGCACAATCTAGCTACTAGAGGGTGCCGCTCCGAAGTTCCGGACCCGCCAATATCCAATCCTGGAACTTTCGTCTTCTGGAGCATCCCATTCCGCCTCCACTGTCAAACGTGCCTTGTCCGCTTCCCCACAAATTCTGAATTTTGTGCGGATACTTGCCTCCCAGCCAATCTCTCAAAGCCCTCAAACAAACAATCGCCAGTAGCCCGCGCTACAACGATCCATGCACTCCGCAATTTGATCGAAACTCCGTGGAGACCGCATTGGTGTTATTGATGCGAATCGATCGGTCTCGTCGTCAGTGGTGGTGGATCCACGGCCCGGCAGTTTAGCCAAGCGTGAAACCTTGATGCTTTGTCGCACCTTTAAGTCAAGGCTACCGAGTCAGTCATTAAGGACAGCAATTGATCAATAATGTCAATTAACTTGGTATCTTTGTCGAATATTCTCATCGCATAATCAATCCCAAGTATATACACATAATCATTTTCGAGACCAAAATATATACATCATTGCTCGCAACATTGCGTTTACCAGTGATACGACTCTGCGCGCGTGATTACCATTGTCAAGAACAACCCCGGATTTTAGCCAAGTTCCTTAAGCTTTTCCCAATAAGGCGCTGCTAGTGGCAGTTTCAACGTGTCAGCCGCGTCATCTCTGCTCTGACCCCTGTCCATGTTTTGGAAGATTCCTACTAGATTGCGGCTAACGCACGTTTGAAGTTAATATAATCAATTTACCGACTCCAAGCTTCTCGAAGCCTGACCAAGCTTTCCCAAGCGAAGTCTTCGCAGACCCGCCTTTTCATATCTTTGCATAACATATCACCTAGTCGTCGTCTCCACCAGGTTCAGGACCAATGAAACAAGACAGAAGTCTGGCCCGGTAGTGCCTGACAATCTTTTGGTATCCACATTCGACCTGTCAATTGCCAAACGGGGCTAGAAATCAATCTGCCGATGTTTTGCTTAGACGGATCAGACGATAGTGCACTTAACAATGTGATGCAATGTTCCACGCGACACATGACAGAAACGACCTCATCGTTGCATATGTGTATATAAAGCTCGCAACTCTCCTGAATCACCAAGGCATCCTCACGCTTCCACTCGTTTCATACTCCTCACAGCCGACCGGATATTTTCAGCCACACAATCATGAAGGCTACATTGATCACCGCCCTCGCCGGAACAGCCCTCGTGGCTGCTGCCCCTGCTAATGTTACACCGCGAGCTTCGAAAGTCAAGTACGCAGGTGTAAACATGGCTGGATTCGATTTCGGCTGCACCACCGACGGCAGCTGTGCTCTAACAGGAACTAACAAGCCATACAACTTCATTAGCGGTGGTACCGGCATTGCTCAGATGAACCACTTTGTCAAGGACGACACACTCAACGCCTTCCGCCTACCCGTTGGATGGCAGTACTTGCTGAACAACCAGCTTGGAGGCAAGCTGGATTCAAACAACGCCGGCCAATACGATACTCTTGTTCAGGGTTGTTTGAACTCTGGTGCTCAGTTGTGTATCCTTGATCTCCACAACTACGCAAGATGGAACGGCCAGATCATTGGCCAGGGCGGCCCAGACGACGCAAAGTTGGCAGACGTATGGACGCAACTTGCCAAGAAGTACGGCAGCCACTCTCAGATTGCTTTCGGTGTCATGAACGAGCCCCATGTAAGTCGCAGCACATCTCCTGCAATATCCCTCAAGTTGACAATAGTTCCCAGGACATCCCCGACATTGAGCGCTGGGCCACCACTGTCCAAGCCGCTGTAACGGCAATCCGTCAAGCAGGCGCCAAGAACAACCTCATCTTGCTCCCCGGCCAGGGCTACACCAGTGCAGAGACATTCGTCTCTTCCGGCTCCGCCGCCGCACTCAACAAAGTCAAGAACCCCGATGGTTCAAAGACCAACCTCATCATGGATGTCCACAAATACCTTGATAGCGACAACTCCGGCACCCACACCGAATGCGTCAAGGACAGCGTCGACACTGCCTTCAAGCCTCTCGCTGATTGGCTCAGGCAAAACAAGCGCCAGGCTTTCTTGTCTGAGACTGGCGGCGGCAACACTGCTTCTTGCCAGAAGTTCCTGTGCTCAGAGCTCAAGTTCTTGAAGTAAGCCTTCCTCAACCCTGGGATCGAAAACAATCCTTTGCTAACTTTTCCATAGCTCCAACTCCGACGTCTACCTCGGATACACTGCCTGGGCTGCCGGCGGCTTCGATGGCACTTACGAGCTCACTGAGACACCCACCCAAAGCGGCGGTCAATGGAAGGACACTTCCATTGTGTCCTCTTGCGTTGTCGGTGCCTGGAAAGGCCAGTAAACGGCTTGATTCCCGACATTCAGGATGACAGTTGGACCACGGCCTACAAATCCCTTCTTTGTATATAAATTTCAATCTTTGCAAGGCGGGATGCATATCATGATAATTGCATCAAAGAATATCAGGCAGCAAGATTTGTATATAGTTTCGGTTTCGAGGTTTCTCATGCAAGAATACAACGAGATATCATTACATATGTGCATTTTCGATACTGAAATACCGCGACATGAAGTGAGAATGCGATCCGTCTCCTCCGAGCTACCCCATTTGCCCTCAATGCTGTAACACTCTTCTAAACCCAGTATCCAATTGTAACCATGCTCTCAAAATTACTCAGAGATTGAAGTATCAAAGCACCGTCTAGTCTCGCGAGAAGGGTTGACCCTCTGGCCCCATAGGGCTAGGGCTAGGGCTGGATTGAGGTCAACCCTAATCCTACAGCATGTTCCCGGATTAGCTATATGCGCTGCATCTTTTGATGGGCGCGGACTTATGGTTCACCTAGGAGAAGCGACTAGGTAACTAGCAACGCAGTAGAGCTGCGAGACGGGGCGAAGCGGGATGTTTTGCATGACATTGTCATTGGGGCTTCTACGTTGTGAGTGCAGCGGTAGTAGAGTCCTGGATACCCCCTTCGACATGTTTCCCTCTTTTGGCTCTGTTGCGCTGGACTGCGAGGTATGGGTGTCTATTAACACGATTGCAAAGTGAGTTGGTAGGATAAAGAGAGGCGCCAGGAAGTCACTTCTCTTTTATTACACGCTGAGGATTGATTGTCGGTTCCCAGTCGTTGATCTGCGTTTACATGGCTTTTTTTTGCTTGCCGGTTCCAATTTTCTGGACGTCGGTTATAGATGACGCCAAATGTGCATCCAGGATTGCGTCTTTACATCGACACGACTCTGAGTAAGTCCTTCAGCCAGCTATCCGCATCGTGTCACGCAATATAACGCACTACTGAAAATACCCTCAATCATGTTGGCATTGCCCTGCATGGTGGTGTTGAGAATGATATCGTACGATTCGTGGTCGCAAATGTCAGCAAACACGGTCAAACATGGCTGCTTGACTGTGGTAACGGCTTTGGTGATTAACGACGCTGCAACTGCACCCTTTAGGCGATCATAAACTATTTCGCGTCAGACGCCTTGATTATCTGTTCTCAACTCGATTCACTAACGTATAAACGCATAGATAGTCACTAAGTATTCAGTCACCGGAGGATCCTGCATGATGGAATATCTTTCTACCGGAACACTGGATAGAGAGTTGGGCCATGGCTTCAAGCCTTATCTCTTCTTCGGTTTCCTCTTCTTCGGCTTTCTCCTGCTTCTGATCGCCGGTTATACTGTCAAAGCATTAATTTAATACAATTGGGTAGCGTTGTTCCTCTCGATCTTGAGGTCCGAGTTTTGTCGCACTAACCGCTCAAAAGGAGCATGCGTGGTCGTCCTCGCTGTGATCGCCGCATCGAAAACTCGAGGATGTGAAATAAAACTTGATTGAAATGACTTCCGATAAGTTTGAACATGCTTAGTATTCCGCGATGGTACTATACTCGGTAGTGTCGATAGTAGCTAGGGCCCAGTGTTCTGCATTCTGATTGAAATGGACACTCTCATTCAAATTGTTCCTGCTTGTAGTTCATTGAAATTTTGCTGACTTCTACGTTTCAAAAGAGGTGGCAGTAGTCCTTTTTTATCGGTTCGAGTTGCAGCAGATGCAATGAAGGTAGACGCGAGAGAAGTGATCGGAAGTCATGGTGTCGCCCAAGCCCATTGCTACAAATGAGATATTTGAGCCAATGATACGTTTATTTCCACATCACCAAAGGTGTAAGAGAAGATCTCATGCTTTCATAATTGGCAAGTACGTTGTTAGAGTAGTATAAGTATCAATCCATGTCCATCTCTCATAGCATCTCTATCATAGAAGGCGGTCTGAAAATTTCGTTCACCAGTTGCTTACTGGCTTCAGATTAACTTTGAACCCATTGTATATCCGAGCAATTATTGCCCATTCTGTTTCTACCTCTTTCTCGTCTGCTACTTTAGTAATTTCAAATGTGCCTACAAGGCCAGCCAACATTATCTTAAACTCTGCTAACGCGAAGCCTATACGTGCATCTCGTCAGTCTGACGTCGATCATAATTGAAAACAGGAATGAAAATCTTACTCTTTCCAATGCAACCCCTGGTGCCGGATGAGAAGGTTTGGAAGGCTAGAGCATCAGCGCCTCCATTTGGAGCTTCGTTGCCATGAAGCCATCTTTCCGGGTCGAACTCCCTTGCACGCTTTCCCCAAAGCTTCTTCGACTTGTTAATTGCCCAATTAGGGATCAGAAAGCTTGTGCCTTTCCTGATGGGAATACCGCAGAGTACCGTGTCTCTTACAGCTGTTCGCCTAGAGAACGGCGAAGGCCCATAGACCCTTAGGCACTCTTTGCTAACAGCGTCAAGGTACGGCATGCTCTTACCAAGCGTATACGCCGAGATTTCTTGTTCCGAGTTTAGAGGAGGCAGCTGTTTGTGAATTTCATCTCGTAGGCGTTGCTGGACATGAAGGTTCTCTGGCCTTGTCAGAGTGTAAAGCGCCCATTGCATTGCCGTTGCTGTCGTTTCATGCCCTGCCACCAGAAAAGTCCGCGCTTGGTTGACGAGCTCATTCGTTGTTAAATTACCATACTGAGACGCCACCGAAAGAATGTCTTTGTGAAGAGCCTTCTCATCGTCATGTTCCTGAGTTTTTCGGGTCACTACTTCTTTAATGTATCTCTTCACATACGCAGAGCCTGCTCGAATCTCGCGCGCCTTCTTCAGCGGCAGGAGCTTGACTGTCCAAGTTGTAAAAAAGATCGAGAGCAAGAATATAATGTTCGAGGTGCTGTCAGGCTCGAAGATGACTTGGTAAGCACGGCTCAATTCATTGGCCGGGTTTGCTAGGGAGTTGAAATCGATGCCGAGCGCCGCAATACCGATGATATCTAAAGCGGCTCTGTTGACCCATGCAGTTATGTCGACGGCAATTGGTTGCTGGCCTTGCAATGTATTGATCTCCTCTTTGATGTAAGACACCATCTCGCGTGTCTTGGAATAGAAGACAGAGTACAGTTTTTGAACATGTTTCGCAGAAAATGCTGGATTTAATGCTTTGCGTTGTTGCTGCGAACAACGTCAGTCTTGTCTTTACACCAATGCACTACGCAGTTGAATCTCTAGGTCAACGATAGGGAAATGGCTAACCTTGTGCTCTTCGCCATCTACAGTAAGCAAGCCATCGCCGAGCAGGACCTTCATGAAATTCTGTACATTGGCCATTTTGCGAAAGTCATATGCGTTGGTCTGCAAGATTTCTTTGATGAACTCCGGGCTCGTGATCACCAGCACTTCTCTATTGAGAAGGTCGAGAGCGCGGAAAATGCCTTGGTTAGGCGTGTTGTCAAGATATTCGAGGACCCTGCTACCGTTCTGGAGCGGCTGCATCATGATGCCTATCCATGATTTGCGTTGCTGTTCTATCATCAGCTCAATAGCACTCATTCATATTCCGAAAAACACGAATTTTCTTAGTTATTCTTATTTTTTCCTTTTTAGCATAGACACGTACCTTGGCTTGTGGAAGACCGAGGTAAGGGCTAAAGTACAATGGATACAGGTAAATAGCCCATAGCAGTCGTCCAAAAAACAAGCAGCCAACTGTAACGAGAACAGATGAAAAAATCTCTTGCGTTACGTTTTTCCATAGCATCTCAATGAATTCGACGGCTGATCCTATCATTGTGTAATGTTCAAAGCCACTCTCTTCTAGTACACTCTTTTAATTTTGTCGAAGTAGTAGACAGCGAAAGACGGTATATTGGTATGTCATGAATAGAGTGCATACTAAATCTGCAAACTCTAACTAGAATATTCTGTTTTACCGTTATTTTCTATTCGCATGTCAAGACTATATAACATGGTATTACTGTTAATCTATGACTTGATAGGTTTTTTAGTGACCTAGACCTATACTGTTTTCCTGTCATGATACTTGCTGTAGAATAGAACAGACGGTAGTATAAGGCCGAAGTTAGCCCAGATACCAGTGTCTGCAACTCGTCCGCCAAGGTCGTTACGTGGCTATCCGGGCGCCGATTACTTGGCATGAGGGGAAAACGGTGATACCTTCGACTCGACTTTCTTGAGTAGTTTCTTGTTATGCTTTAGAGTGCGTATGGGACTGTATATCGCCGTAACCACACCGAATTAATACCGTATATTAAGCCGGTTACAAGGATTCATTTACAGAATTAAATATGTGGAGAAAGGGTAAGCGCATTATCGGGTGGATACCCTAGTTTTTAGGCGACCGACCGACCCCGCGTCTGTTGTCCCATCGCCCAGTGACCATGATTCTGCTGCACGGCCCGTTCAGGCAGTTAGTATTTCTGCTTGCCAGCGAGCAAGGCAGCAAAAGACCCCCGTGGCCCGAGGCGTTCTGGACATGCTTATTCAGCTTACGGATAAAGCAGGGAGGCTGTTCACCGAAAACTGGGATACGTATCACTTGCATCTCTGGCCCCCACGTCCTCTGCTTTAAATTTGTAATTAACAACCGTTTTCAAACTTTACTTAAAAGTTTCATACTCAGACTAATACCTACCTACATCCATATTCTTCATTAAAATGTCTTCTTCGGTCGAAGTTCGCGCCAATCCTGCACTTATCCAAAAGGGAGACGCATCCCGTGCACCGCTCTTTCTTTTACATGACTCTGGTGGAACAGTTTCCTATTGTTACAGGCTCAGAAACATCGGCCGTACTATCTACGCGATTCACAACCCATCGTTTTATTCGCAAACAAAATGGAGGGGGGGAATTCTGGGCTTGGTGGAAGAATACATCAACCTCATTAAATCTGTGGTTCCATCAGGAGAGATCTTAGTTGGAGGTATGCATTCCCACAACCTCTATCAGTGTTGCATCAGCTCATGAATCAAGGTTGGTCACTCGGTGGCCAGTTGGGTATCGATATTGGACGTGTATTAGCTCGTAACCGACGCTCGAAATTGAGTGTGAAGGGCATTGTATTAATAGATACAATGTACCCGTACTGGGGTCCTCCAGAAACCGTTCACGCGGACGTCTCGATCGACCTCGTGCTCAAGAACATCCCATCTGATCTGAAGGAGAGTATGCTCCGCTGCATGGACTGGTCTAAGGAAGACTGCGATGAATGGGTTCTCAGGAACTGGAAAGGCGACATTGACCAACTCGGCGATGTCGAGAGTGAAGAGCCGGCTCCTGCAGTCCTGATCCACGCGAGCAAGTTGATCGTCGAAGAAACCTCAGAGGGTGTGAGGTGTATGGTGGATCAGTACAAGGATCAAAAGAATGGATGGAACTTCTTCCCTCATCAATTTATTGCCGCTATATGGGAAACTCCGGTAAATCACTTCGGATTATTTGAGGAAACATCTGTATGTTTGAATGCATCGCAATTGAGGATTTCGGCTAAACAATTCAGGTCCAAGAGACTACCGACATGATAAAGCGGGCATGCGATCTTCTTGCCGAGGATTAAGATGGGTGTTTTTTACAAAGCCGTTGGTAAGGCTCATACGTACAAGAAGGTTATCGCTTCTTGAATTAGTGGACTCCACAAGGACAGTAGATACTGTCGTGTAGCATCACGTGACTAGCTCATAGTACATATTGCGATTTTCTTTCGTACGTAGATAGACACCTTCTCTAATCAATCCTTTACAGCGATAGGCTCTCAGCTTATTCCTATCTACTCGATTGCGGGTCGCCCCTCTGATCTTTTGAGCTCGATCACGTATCGTGCCACAATACAAAGCTCACTAAAATGCCACACGAATCTTCCCTGGTCCAGACAAATAGTCGGAATCCCATATACCCATCACGGCATCCCAATACTTCTTTCGATCTTGGAACATGTGGTAGACATGAGCCGTACTCGTATATCTCACTTTCCAAACCTTCTGACACATATTGCGTGCTTCGTCAGCGTGCTGTTCTATGTGCTTCCAAGGAACTAACTCATCTGCCAAACTGTACAAATAAAGTCGGGCAGCAGAATCAGGAAATAGTTCTTTCGTGTTCATTCCTTTGTAAGCCCATCCGACAATGTTCCTCCAACTGGTCAATTTCTCTGTAATTAACCCGATACCAAAAACAATGCGGTAGAACACATTTCCGATGGTCCATAGGACCGGATTCTGTGGAAGCGAAGTGGAAAAAGCAGCAACTGTAGAGCTGTACGACGTGATGCCTGGGCAGCTGTCAAAAACGATCTTAGATACCGGTAGGGGGCAGGATGTGTGGTCCCTGTACGCAGATGCAAGTTGGTAGACGGTGCAAGTACCGCCGCTCGAGAAAATATGGAGTAAAATATTTCCATCAGCCTTTGTGTTTTGGAAAACGCTCAGCGCAGGCTCGAGTTCGCGCACGCGTTGAGCGGTCGGTTGGAAAAGGAAATGCTTTGTAGTTGTCGCGATGACCAGTAAGCCCGAGGTTGGGAAGATGGATTTGTAGCCAGAAAGATAAGCTTGAACCTGCGCCGGGGAGGCATTGAGCCATGTGGCAATGACAATGAGATGAGGATCCTTTGAAATTGCTCTCCAAGTTGGTTTGGCGTCTTTTGGCGGTTCTCGGTAGAAAACACTAGGCGAGAGCTGTACAAAATCAAGCCCGTACGGACGGGAGGTATGCTGCATCGTAAAACTCGTTTCTATGATTGTTTCAAAGGTCAATAGCGTACCAACTCCGGCAAAGCATGGGGTTGTGCTGTAGGTTTAAGTATCCGCGCACACAGACCTCTGCCACGTTATTAATTCCGTTGGTCTCCGTACGAATAATACGGCTGAATTGAGTTAATTTCAAACATGACTATGTGGTCCGTGCGCTATAGCCCCCGATCAGAGAAGCTAGTCAACAGAATAAATCCTATTTTTTGCTCCGTCTGGTGGCGTAAGGTGCATACGGCTACCCAAGTACTCCAAGATGCGTAGTTATTTAGAGGGGAAACTTAGCCGACATTCCGTCCTATTGATCCTGTCGGTATCTGCTCTGCCAAGTTCTTAGACCCCTGCAAATAATAGTCACGTAGCACATGTGCCGAGGTTTGAATGGACAAACCAGGCTTACGTGAGCTTCACCTCTCGTGCGAGGAAGATACTGGACTATGATGTACATGAAGTCATCAATCAGCAAGCTTGTGGAATTCGCGATGAGAGAAGAACTATCGGAGAGCTATCCGAGTGTACAATACAGAATGTAGTTCGTGCATTTGCACTCATTCAAGACTTTGTCCGCCTTTTTGCATCCGCAAAGATTGGATAGGCCAGCTTAGTATTCAACTCAATCTTAACCTTGCCTTCCTGAGGCATAGATTTAGGCGTAAGTGTGATGGTCTCAAACTCTTGACATAGTCGAGTGAAGAAATACTCCATCTGAAAGTTTGCAAATTGTTGCCCAGGACAGATCCTGGGACCGTGGTTGAAAGGAATGTACTCCCACTGGCTACTGGGCTTCCATGAATCTATTCCAAATTAGCAAAGAAGTTTTCTAATCATGTCGGATTAGGAGCAAGATAAGGATCAACATACCCCATCTCTCAGGTATCCATAGGCTAACATCCTTTACTCCGAGATCAGTACGATGCTGCAATGACAAGAGGCCATATACTAGGAACATGTTAGAAACAGCTTGCTGGGCCACGAATGTACTAACCAATCTGTGTTCCCTCCAAGATAGCTACCGGTGATTTACCATCGGGGCCTCCACCCCGTGGCAAGGTCATGTCTTCGACGGGCACACGAGCATTTATTCCCACTGACGAATTAGCATCTTCATAACATCTGGAGTTTTCAACGTACAAGGATGGTGAACGCGTAGTGTTTCCTTGATCACATTCCGTATATACTTCAATTTATGTAGGTCGGTTAAGGTTGGCAGCCGATCTCCAACACTGCAGAATGTTAACAAATCTGGGGCATAATGAATTTGAAGTATCTTGGTTTCTTACTGTTCCTTGACTTCGGCCTTCATTTTCGCAAATACGTGTGGATGTCGTGCAATTTCGTAGTAAGCCCATGCAAGTGTTGTAGTCGAAGGATCTTTGCCAGCAAGTAGCGTCGATATAACTGCATTTTTGATATTACCGCGACCTTTACCCTTCCGAATGAGATCGTCAATCAGACAGGGTTGGTCACCGCTATATTTTCTAGCGCTGGCTTTGTCGACGAATTGGTCCAGGTATCGATCAATCTCACGTGTGGCTCGCGGAGCAAGCCAGTCATCTCGAAGATAGACACCAACAGGACTAGATAGTAGTTCAGCATGGAAAGTACACCACCTAGAGATATTGTACGAACCCCATGATCTGCCTAAAGCTATTGATTCCAAGTAGGACATCCATCGCGTCGCGAAAAGGCTGCTGATTGGAAGTTAACGAATCGGTCGACTGGCCGCAGAATACATGCGTCACGACGTCCAACTGCCATCGATCGATAGCGTCGAATGCGTCAGTTCCAGGGGTCGCAAGAAGATCGATTACATGCTTCAGATGTTTCTCAGTGATATCGAAGTCGGTATCGCGAATTCGACTCATCTGCAACTGTCAGAATTGATCTAGAGAAGAATTGCGCGACTCACGTGGGTTTTAAGGAAACTGATCTCTTGCTTCCACTCTTCACCGTCCACTTAAAAGCAATTAGCATTTACGTCTATATATTTTTGCCGTGTCATACTTGAGAATACTGCATCGCCGAGTATGTGTTTAAAGATTTCATGCTGAGCTTTCGACTTTGCAAACCGAGTAAACTAACGATCTGTAAGCTGCTGAACTACGATTTTGCTTGCGAGTGCGCACCTCAGTATCTTGGATGTACTTGATGTTCTCAGGATCATCGGTCAGGTACATGCTGTTCCCAAACATCCGCACATCAACTGTATGATTGTGGGTATCCAAAACATCTTTCGTCCAATGCCAAAACTCATGTTTCCTCAGAGCACGCAAGATTTCAATGGCAATGCCTAGACCTACTACAAGTTAGTCATCTCTTGAATCGTACGAGTTAGAATACTGACCAAATGTATTAGTGGACACACGCTCAGGTGGTCCTGCACCTAGAAGAGCATATCTTCGCCTTGTGTCTGCATTCAATCGATAAGATCTGAGAGCAACCAGAGCGGCAAGAATGATTGCTCCTAGGAGTAATGGAGACGAGAATATCGCCATTTGCTGCTAAGTATGAATATGACAAGGATGTTGTATAGATAGCATGTATGAAGTGCTAGCTCAAGGAAGAAGACGCTGATACAAGATACTCATATATATATATTGTATTGCACACCACGTAAGCTGCACCTGTTCTAAGCCTAGTAATACTATCTATTTATAGAAGCATCGCCACTTTACAGCAGAATTGAAAGTTTTATTATTTTATTCATTAAAACATGTTCTTATAATGCTAATCTTTGATAGAAAATGCTTTCTTTGTTCTAAAATACTTCTTATACGTTGAAGACTAGTTCATATTCAGATCTATAATCTAAAAAATATCTAGTGAATCTAGACTTATAAAACTCCTACTATCGACATAATAATATGAAATGTAATGGATTAGCTAGGTAGCGTGATATTGACTTATGGAATAGTATAGACTTGGGTAACGTTAGTACCGGTTTGCTAGCGTAGTTTCAGCTAAGCCTGCCAATGTCGACCCTTGCTCACTAGGTAACCAAATAGCTTCATGGTACGTAGCCTTGTACTAGCGAGTCGTGATCCTATAGCCCAAGACACCCCGCAGTCTTGGTGTTTGATTTGACGTATCTTCCGGCTTGGACTTGATAGCTGACTCCAAGTACCGACTTCGGTGTTATAGAGATACGAACGGTTACGCTAGTAAGCCAAGAAGATAGTGTAAATATCCACGCGTTCATGCTACCCCGCTAGCCAGGCGCACCCCGCAACCTAGATCCACTATCTCCCTTACACAACTCGGCCCGTTTTTACTAGCTGCCTTTTGCAGTAAATGCGAGGTGTTTGACGATACCGAGGTACTAGAGAATACGAGATATCCAAGAATCCTTGGATACCTCGTATCGCGTAGCTGAGTACCCGAAACTCGGAATTTCGGTTACCGAAGAGTTCCGCCCCCTTACGTATCGAGGTTCTGACGAGGCCGCTCGGCCATTAATTTACGTTTCGCTAATCGCTATCTCTCTGAGTTAGAACAGGCGGCGCATTCGGCCTTAATCAATACTTGGCGCATCAATCCTTCGTTGGATTGCCCTGTTGCAACAATCCTTCTCGGAAACGCTAGGCCACAGCCTATGTTGTTAGCTGCGGCCTATCTTATCAATTGCTGCTATTTTCTGACCAATCCCGCTCCCTTAATAGAATACAGTAAATAACCGGGACTTACATTGACATAGGTGGATGATTCCAAAAACTGTGTATTGATCTCCGTTCATGTTGCGCATTTTAAGTCATTGAAGTTGTTCCGTTACATCAACCAGTATCTATACTATCCTGGAATATTGTTGCCCTAATGGAAAAGCCATCCTCTACCCTGCCTTTTCGGCAGGTTGTCATCGTTGGGTGTGGATTTGGCGGTCTGGTAATGGCCTGCCAGCTGAAGCGCAGACTCCAGTTTAACGACTTCGTCATGTATGAAAGGAACGCTGGCTTAGGGGGGACATGGCATCATAATCGATGTGAGTTCTTGTAACAAATTCATTTTGAAGTCCAATTGTGCTGACATAGAAAGACCCTGGAGCGTCGGCAGACGTATTTGGGGCGGCATATCAAATCTCATTCGCGCCAGAGCCAAAATTCACACGTGCATTTCCCGTTTGGAATGAGCTGCACGGCTATATGGAGAAGGTCGCTGATCGATACAATCTTGTTCCCCATATGAAGTTTGGCATTAGCTGGGAAGGAAGTGTGTGGATACCAGAAACAAGATGCTGGCGAGTTGTCTTGCGTGATTGCGCCACGGGCGATACCTTCACTCAAATGTGCAAAGTACTCGTCAGCGCGACGGGCCATCTAGTCGATCCTAAGCAGCTTGAAGTGCAAGGAAAAGACATCTTCAAAGGAAAAATTGTACACTCAAGTCTATGGACTAGCGACATCGACGTTAAGGACAAGAGCGTGGTGGTTTTAGGAAACGGGAGTAAATCTGAATATCTATCCAAGTTAAAGAAAATTGCTGATGGGTGATAGGCACTGCTGTCCAATTGGTTCCTAGTATTCTGGAAGATGTAAAAGAGTGTACACAGATACAACGAGTAAGTAACTAACAATTGATATAGGTAGATCTGCTGACTGTATGAAAGGCGCCACAATGGATATTACATCGACCGAACCCAGCATTACCAGCGGCAATGTTGACTCTGCTGACCTACGTGCCTCTCCTATTCACAGTACTTCGTACTACACTCTTTGCGATCACAGAGGCCTTCTTTCATGTTGTAGGGAATAAAATCCCGCAAATTAGCAAGAACCATTTAAGAAAGTTTGAAGTACCGGAAGAGTACTATGACCTCCTCACACCTTCGGTTCGTTTGTCTCAATGTCTATATTCTCTTCTTACTAACCTTCACAGTACCGACCTGGATGCAAGCGACTTGTTTTCGCTTCAGACTACCTGGGATGTCTCAAAAACCCCAAATTACACTTGATCCAAGATGAGATTGCATCTCTTCGTGAGAAATCAGTCGTTACAAGGTCGGGAAAGGAGTATCCTTGCGATATGCTACTTCTTGCCCATGGCTTTGAGTCGGAAACTTTTAAACTTCCACTCACGGGACGCAACGGTGTTACACCCCAGAGGCACTGGGCCGTTGCTGGTGGCCCTAGCTGTTACAAAGGCATTGCGATGCACGACTTTCCAAACTTCTTCACTATTCGGGGTCCAAACATGGCATCTGGGTAATGATGACATGATAGCTTTTTTTTTGAAACATCAACTAACTGACTCATATAGTCACAACTCAGTGATTTGGTACATCGAAGCTACCGTCGAGTTGATTTTGAATGTCGCAACGCCTCTTATTCAGGGAAAGGTGAATCAAGTCGAGGTGACGGCTGAAGCGGAGAGTGAATATGTAAACAAGGTGCAAGCGGCCTGTCGTAGAGGTGTTTGGGGCTCGGCTTGCAATACTTACTACGTAACCAAGAACGGATGGAACCATACGATGTACCCGTGGAGTAAGTACTACATTCAATTTGTGTGATTTTTGCTGACGTTTTGCATTAGATAGTTACAGCTTATGGTGGTTTAGATTCGTGAACAAGAAAGATTGGACGGTGGTTGTTTGAGGAGCTGGGGAGTTGCTCCTACGCGTAGGCATGGGAACATCCTTTTTGTACACCCACATAATTAACCATAGATCCTTTCCTGAGATTTTTGGCAAAGCACAGCAATGCCTTATATAGAATAAGTAACGTTTGCTATGACTACGACGCTGAATGATGGTGATGACGATGAGAGATAGTGCGTGAACGTGATGACAGTACCTCTTCATCAAGGGCTGCTTTTAGCTTTTTTGATCACTCGTTTTACATGATTTCGTTAAAACAGCGATATAAAGCGCTTAGATATCGCCCATATTTGTGAATTATGATGATATCAACGGAGAAAAATGAGAGCTAATCCTTCTTCAGCAACCACTCATAACCTATGTGTTGATTTGGAGTCACCATCAGTTCCGATATGACTACATGTTTTACGCACATGATTAATGCTGCTCTAACCGAGGGGGCGGGGTGTAGTAGTATTATACAGCTCCCCGTAAGTTGGCCTTCGAGTCCTTGGCTCAGAGTATCGTGGCAAAAGATGCCTATACCATCCTCCTCTTCAATAACTACAAGTTTCGTAAGAGCTCCGTTTTCTCAGATCCTTTCCTTTCCAAAAGAAAACCCAAGGTACCGGGATTAATGCGAGACTAATGAACGCAAAGATGCTTCCTGCCCAGTGAATACCCAGATTTTCATACATCTGGATTGTGAAAAGAGGAAATATGGCTCCCAGAATGAACCGTAGAAATCCATTAGCAGCTATAGCTGAAGCACCGTTTGTCGCTTGATACGTATCCATGAGGTAGGTAACAGATGCGAGGAAGACGGCTAGCGTTCCCCAGCCGAACGGTACGCCAGCTAACACTGGAACAATCCAATGAACTGATTCACGTGGCGTCCATGCAAACCACTAGAGATTCACATTTGTATCAGCAATGGCCACAACGAAGATGCAGGGTGTAGGCAGCGCTCTTCTTCACTTACAAAAAGTCCAATAGGTAGAAGAAAGCTTCCAAACATGGCTGCATAGAGGCGATGCTCTGGTGCAACCCGCCCGTTGGTTCTCTGGGATTCGGGCTGGTATTTTTTGCGATCAAAATATCCAACCGTCACAAGAGCGAGAAAATATCCCACAATGAGTCCGATGTAAGCCAACCCAATTTCTTTCAGATCAAATCCATAGACCTTACTGTATACGTAGGAATAAGAACCAAAGAATGAGAAGATCATGGCGAAGTTGAAACCTGTGTAAAGGCTGAGAAAGAAGGCGAGCGGCTTTTTCGGTCATGTTAGATTGCTAAAAGGCTGGGCGGAGTCAAATTCACATACCTCCAGCAAGATCATGTGTAGTGGGCGCAACATGGCGATACTGATTCGTTGTGTAATGGGCGCTTCCTGGGTAACCTTTATTGTTTTGCTGGACTTCAGATAGATGATCCTACTCTTTGAGGTCTCTTTCATAAATAATAGAGAGACAGCTATTGGTGCGCATAGGATTGGAATGACCCAAATAGACCATTTCCAGTTGTTGTCATATTGGGCGATGATGTACGCACCAATAAGAGGCCCAAGAGTAGGTCCAAGAAAGGGAGCGAGGATGTACGTTAACGCAACCAGGCCGGCCTGCCTTTGACTCCATATATCAGCAACAGTACCTGCGCCTACAGCCAGCACACCTGAGCCGCCAAAGCCTGCGAGGAACCGAAAGACGATGAGTACAGTCAGATTATCAGACGCAGCTGCGATGATGTTGAATACCATCAGCATCGGAAGACATATTCGATATACAATAAGGCGACCATAAATTTCGGATATAGGAGCGGCGATGAGTGGGCCTAGAGAAAACCCGATGGTGTAAACGACGATAGGGAGTAGTGCAACAGTCCTACTTATGTCGAATTGTTTCATAACAAGTAACACGCCTGCAACGTATGTCGAAGTCCCCATGGTACTACAAGAGGTCATTAGTTCGCTCTTAAAGAGTAGCATTCTCAAACATACAGCGCAAGGCCGTACACAGCTGGAATTGCGCTGTGGAGAATTTTCTTCCATGTTGGCCAGTTCTGGGGATTGTCGACATTGTTGACGTCGTCCCAACCCAACTCTGCTATCTCTACTTCCGGATGAGGTAAGGTTGATACTGGTTTAGGGTCCATTATGACTGGATTAGAATAAAAGCAGAGACGAGGACTACTGCGACTTTAGGCGAATTTGGTCCGAAGAGAGAAAGTTGAGGAAATCCAAGACATCTACTAGCGGGCGAGACAGAGGGCGCAGCAGCTCCTTGTTCTACTTACGCCGAGGTAATTACGAAACCCCTGTAAATTAAAAACGCATAATTTACACGAACTTGTTGGATAAGCGAGCGCTGTAGGCAAGCGAGCTGTCGTGTAACCAACGAAACGGGCAAATGGGAGACCCTTCAGCAGTACAAAATCATCCTAAAACATGACTGAGATTCTACTCCACGCACGTTCCTCAATAACAGAGACTCAGGTTAAGCCCAAACACAATATACCTCTTTACTAGTAATTTCAAAATGATTTATACTAAAATATCAATATATTAATCTGGTTGGTATTTTTCTTTGCTTTTGACAGAAGTAAATAACCACAAAGAGCATAAAATATTGATAATCGAATTCGAATAATTGGCTGCTACTTCCAGAAGACCAAGTAACTATCCTAGGCATTGATAATAGCGTCCTGTATGCTCTATTCCTTAAGGTTGCTAGTGCATTCCTTGGCATTCCCATTTAGCGCCGAAGTCCATACGCAATACCTGTCTATTAATCTAGGCTGCCAAGTAACTCCAGCATGTGCTTGTTACAGCCCCCTCTGTACCCTGTTTCATCAGCTTACTAGCGAATCCTTCGATATCCTGGCGTAAGTCCAAAGGCTGTGCGTATAGTGAGTAGTTAGCTACTAGTCCCAAAGTGCCAAGTGACCTATCAAGAGGCTCAGCACTAGGCAACAGAACGGCGATTTACAGAAGGGTGAAGATAGCTGTGCATGGGAGCGTGCACACCCTGTTTGCGCCGAATCCGACGGCCCCCAACACTAGCAATCTGCTCATGCGGGGAAACCGTAGTTACCCGGCTGTTTGCCAATGTGGGGGGAGACCGTAGGTACATGGCTGTGTGTTAAGAGTTTAAGGGCTTATAAGAGGCATACGATACTCGATCTTAGAATTACAAACAAGTTTATTTCAACATCCAGCCTTCACAATTTAGTTTCATCAATCACTCCTCTCATATTTCCCATCATGGAGAACCCTAACACATCTGACAATCTCCAAGATGAGTACGTTTGTGTTACTGGGAGTAATGCGAATAGTTCTCCCGACGGGTAAGGCACATGTCCTACTTGATTATTTCGCTAACAGATTAGACTTTCAACTCCCACAAGTAAATCCTCGAATGCACCTATGCCGATAGCTATAGTTGGGATGGGAATGCGATTACCTGGAAATTGTCATGATAGCGAAGCTTTCTGGGACCTACTCATCAACCAGCGTGAAGGAATGATTGATATACCGTCAAGTCGATGGAATAGCGAAGGCTTCTACGATCCGCACGGCCGGCCTGGTACCACAAAGGTCAACAAGGGTAACTTTCTTGGCAGCATTGATCCAGCGGACTTTGATGGAAGCTTTTTTTCAATGTCGGCGGCACAGATTGCCAAGGTTGACCCACAACATAGGATCCTGTTAGAGACTACATACGAGGCGCTTGAGAATGCTGGAGAGCGTAACTTTAGAGGCAAGAAGGTCGGTGTTTATGTGGGCATGTTTGCCGACGATTTCGTGGAGATGCAATCGAAGGATTCAGAACCTCATGAGTTCCTGTCTCTCACAGGCCACTTGGATCTCTTTGGAAGTATGTTGTGTCCTCAAAACCTCCTTGATTCCAAGCTGACCAAGTTCCAGGCAACCGTGTTTCGCACGAATTTGATTGGACTGGGCCTAGGTACGTCCCCGCCACCCTCACACGTGTGACGATAACTAAGGAAGAACAGTATGACAATTAAGACAGGATGCTCTGCATCATTGGTGTGTCTCGATCAGGCAGTCAAGGCACTAAAGGCGGGAGACTGTGATGCCGCAATCGTTGGCGGTGCCAACCTCATCATGAGCCCTGCTCTCTCCTGCGCGCTGGTCGCTCAGGGAGTTAATTCTGCGGACGGGCGGTGCCGTTCATTTGATGCAAAGGCAACCGGCTATGGTAGAGGGGAAGCTGTATCTTCTCTTCTAGTAAAGCGTTTGGATGACGCTCTGAGAGACGGGAATCCCATACGCGCGATCATACGGTCAACTGCTTGCAATGACGACGGCAAAACACCAGGAATCACCCAACCCAATACGGTCGCCCACGAGGCTCTAATTAGGGCGGCATACCGTACTGCAGGAATCGCAGAGGAAGATTTTAACAAAACTGGATTCTTTGAGTGCCACGGAACAGGCACTGCCGTCGGCGACCCAATCGAAGTGGGCGCTGTGGCTCGAGTTTTTGGCAAGGATGGCATGATAATTGGATCGGTAGGTGACCAAAACCTATCCCCAAATGAAAATACTGAAGTGTGCAGGTAAAATCCAATATCGGACACTCGGAAGGCGCGAGTGGAAACACGTCAGTCATCAAGGCCATCTTATCAATGGAGCACCAGATCATTCCACCAAACGTAAACTTTGAAACGCCGAATCCGAAGAGTATGAGATCTAGATCTTTGTTTGGTTTGATCATTGACTGATCAGAAGCTTCTAGTTCCTTGGAAAGAAGCAAATCTCAAGGTGCCTACTGAATGTATGAAGTGGCCATCGGATCGTCTAGAAAGAGCATCAGTAAACTCTTTCGGCATTGGTGGAACGAATGCCCACGTATGTCTTTTCAACACCTACTTCACTAGTGATCGTTGGGTTAACGAGAGGCGTAGGTTATCTTGGAATCAGCCGCTGCTCATGGGGTGAATAGACCAAAGTTGCTGGCCACCGAGCAGAAACCGAGGCTTTCACTGCTCCTATTCACTGCGAAGAGTGACATCTCCCTTCAAGAATCAATTGATAAGCACGCAGATTACATCCAGAAGCACGGCTCATCGCGACTGGGTGATATTGCGTATACGCTTGGCACACGTAGGGAGCACCATGAGCACCGCACTTTCTGCGTTTCCGACGGCGAAGAGCCACTTGTGGCTCTGCCATCCCTGAGAACTAAAATGACCAATCGTTCTACGGTTTTCGTATTCACTGGTCAAGGCGCCCAGTGGGCAGAGATGGGAAAAGACCTGATAGAAGACTTTCCTTCCTTCAAAGAAAATATACAGGAGATGGACAAAATCCTACAGGAATGTCACACCCCGCCGTCGTGGAACATATTGGGTATGGAATCTCTACTCGTCGAATAAGACACCCGCTAACAAGATTCGCGCAGAGGAACTGAGCAAACCCAAAATGCGAAGTCAGATCTCAAAAGCGGAGTTTTCTCAGCCATTATGCACTGTTATTCAAATCGCTCTCGTCGACCTCTTCCGTACATGGAACGTCAAGCCCGACGCTGTCGTCGGCCATTCAAGCGGAGAGATTGCCGCAGCATATGCGACAAATGGCCTTACAAAGAAGGAAGCAGTCCTCGCAGCTTACTTCAGAGGCCTGATCACTAGCAAAAAGCTGGCTGAAGGAGCAATGGCAGTTGTGGGACTTGGTCCGGATCAGGTCCGAAAGCTTCTGAAATCAGGAGTAGTGGTTGCGTGTGAGAACAGTCCAACTTCAACTACGATTTCCGGCGACCGTAGCGCAATTGAGGAATTCATCGCCACCCTTCGCGAGGAATCACCTGATGTCTTTGTGCGTCCTCTGCAGGTCGACAATGCTTATCATTCTCGTAAGTAAACTCCCGCTCTGCCCATATAAATAACGTTGCTAATCGATCTAGACCACATGCAAGTCTTTGGCGATGCCTATGAGAAAGCCCTATCAGATGTTTCTGCAACCAATCAACCAAATATTCCCTTCTTCTCATCGGTTACTGGTGAGGTCATCGATTCGGCAAACAAATTCACCCCGTCATACTGGCGAAGCAACCTTGAGAATCCAGTGTTGTTCAGTACGGCAGTCCGCAACATCATCAAATCTGACTTGGAAAACCCTGTTTTCCTTGAGATTGGGCCTCATTCAGCTCTTGCTGGACCTCTTCGTCAAATCTTCTCTGCTGAGAATGCGACTTTGTCCTACGTCTCTAGTCTGGCACGTGGCCAAGATGATACTGAGTCAATGTACAATGCCGTCGGAAACCTCTGGAGAAACAACATCAATGTTGATATGAGCGCTCTATATCCTACTGGCTCAGTGTTGACCGATCTTCCAACCTACTCTTGGGACCGTTCGGTCAAGTTCTGGACTGAAAGTCGCATGTGCAGTGAGTGGAAGAACCGCAACTTCCTTCCACACGAAACACTGGGTGTACGGCTACCCGGAAGTAGTCACCTTATGCCTACCTGGAGAAAGGTCTTGCGTCTTGGTGACGTGCCTTGGATACGTGACCATGTCATTGGTTCTGATACCGTATTTCCTGCCGTTGGTTACGTCTCCATGGCAGGTGAAGGTATCAGACAGCTTTCAGGACGTTCTGATTACTCGATTCGTGATTTCTCGATTCGTAGTGCCATGATTGTCAACGATACCCGGCCTGTCGATGTCGTCACCACTTTCAAGCGCTCAAAGATCACCACGACCATCGATACTGACTGGTGGGACTTCCGTATCACTTCATTCAACGGCTCCACTTGGAGTGAGCACTGCTCGGGACAGGTAAAACCAGGTCCAGCTCGCCCAAATATGCGGCCAGAACCTCAGCCTGACTATCTGAGAAAGGTCTCCGCCGATGGCTGGTACCGGATTATGGAGAGAATTGGATTCACCTACGGTCCTACCTTCAGAAACATGCGAGACATCTCCGCAAACCCGATTGGACATGAAGCAGTGTGCACTGTTGACAACTTTTCGGATGAAACTGGGTCTTTCTATGAAGTGCATCCACGCATATTGGACAATCTGCTCCAGCCCATGACTGTCTCCATGTACCAAGGCAACCCGTCACTTTTCAACCAACTCAGTATGCCTACATACATTGGAGAACTCTATATCTCGGGTGGTATGAAGGAGATTAAAGTTACGACCAAGGCGTGGCAAGACCTAATGGGAGCTTGGTGCGGCAGTTCATTAGGCACAGCTGACGGCAAGGTTGTCTGCGAGATGAAGGGCCTGAAATTTTCGCCTCTAGGTGAAAGTGCAGAGCAAAAGGAGGAGTTGAAGAACACCGTTCAGGTCGTTTGGAAGCCCGACGTTGACTTCCTGGATCTTGAGGGCCTGGTTCGCTCACCAGTCGACATGACCGAGCCTAGTGCTCAACTCGAGAAGTATTTCTTCCTCCGCGCGATTGATACAGTCAAGATCATGGATAGCGTTGAGGATGTAAAGCTACCTCATGGAAAGAAGTTCCGAACGTGGCTCAAATCGTATGTTGACAAGGTATCTCGAGGGGATCACCATATCCTCCCTGAGGGCCCTCAACTGGCTTCTCTCTCTGAAGATAAGCGCAATGCCTTGGTTCGCGAAATCCAAGAGGAGCTTGCAGCGTCTAAGTGGACGCCCACTATGGAAACAGCAATTCGAAGAGTACATGAGAATGCAAAGGACCTTCTTGAAGGTACTGCAGAGAACATTGTCTACCTCATGGAGGACAATATTTTGATGCAGATCTACGCCTTCTTCAGCTTGTGCTGGGATTATGCTCCTCTTCTAGAGGTCCTTGGTCATTGTAAGCCAACGATGAAGATTCTTGAAATCGGAGCTGGTACTGGTGGTACCACAAGGAACTTGCTCCAGGGGCTCATTTCCGAATTTGGAGAGCGCTTATACTCCAAATACGACTACACTGACATCTCAGCCGGATTCTTTGTAGCCGCGAAGGAGCGTTTCAAGGACTATCAGGGCATTGAGTATTCAGTCCTTGACATCACCCAGGACCCGATGGCGCAAGGGTTTGAAGAAGGCTCGTACGACCTCATCATTGCAGCAAACGTTCTTCATGCGACGCCTTCAATCCAAGACACCCTGTCGCGGGTGAAGAAGCTGTTGCACCCTAGCGGCCGACTGATGCTCCAGGAGATGGATATGCCAGCCAAGTGGGTCAACTTCATCATGGCCGGTTTCTCTGGTTGGTGGCTTGGTGAAGAAGACGGTCGCATGGACGAGCCATATATGACTCCAGACAGATGGAATCTTGAGCTCAAGGCCGCCGGCTTTACTGGTGTGGATGCAAAGTGGTACGATACTACACCACCCTTCCAGGTCTCCGCCACTATTATCTCTTCACTTGTTCAACCGACACCCGCCAGGAAGAGTGTTTCCTTCTTGTATCGTGGAGATTTTGATGCACGGCTAGAGTCGTACCGGGCCACTTTCGAGGCCAAGGGTCACTCGGTTCAACCAGTACCCTTTGGAAGCCCCCTCCCCGTTGATCAGGATGTCGTTTCCTTCCTGGAGCTTAACTCACCATTTTTCCACGACATGAAACAGTCTGATTTTGAATACTGGATTGAAATGGTCGGCAGAATGGGCGACGAAAAGTGGCTTTGGATTACGCGAACAGCATCCATGGGCGCAACGGAGCCTGGTTATGCCATGTCCCTCGGCTTCGCGCGTACTCTCCGCTCAGAGAAGAAGATCAGCATTACAACTCTCGAGATTGATGAAGTCAACGCCCCTAGCAGCCCACAGAAGGTCGTTCAGCTTTATGAAAAGATCAATAGCCCACCACCAGACGATGATATGGAGCCTGACTTTGAATTTGCGATCAAGAACGGAGTTATCCATCTGCCGAGGTATCATTGGGTCTCCATCAAGGATGAGCTGGAGAAGGCTGCCGAAGAGGTCGAGAATAAGCACCTCTGTATCGGCCAAAAGGGCTCCATCAATGGCTTGCGTTGGGAAGACAATGAAGCTGTCAGTCGACCATGTAGGCCCGACGAAATCGCTGTTCGTCCGCATACAGTGGGCGTGAACTTTAGAGTGAGTCTGAAAAATCCATTCATCAACACACTGACTAAAATATCTAGGATATCGTCCAAACGCAAGGTCTCATTGATAGCAGCGATCTTGGAGGAGAATGTTCTGCCATCGTAACTGAGGTTGGTTCAGAGGTTACAGACTTCATAGTTGGCGACCGTGTCTTTGGCATGGTTGCTGAAAGCTACTCGAACCGTGTACTCGATAAAGCTGAGCTATTCGCCAAAGTCCCAAATAACTTAACCATGGAGGAGGCAGCAACGATGCCTACGACCTATCTGACGGTGATATTTGCGTTGCGACATGCTCGCCGGCTGAACAAGGGCGATGTAAGTTTTTTGATAGAGTAGAGATCGATAAAAGTGCTAACATGCTATAGACTATTCTGATTCACTCTGCTGCGGGCGGTGTGGGTATCTCAGCCATCAATATTGCCAAGATGGTTGGTGCCAAGGTAATGACTCTGTGTGGCTCTCTTTTAATCCTTCTGACTCTCCGTAGATTTTCGCAACAGTCGGCACTGAGGACAAGGTAGAGTTCCTAGTCAACAACTTTGGCATTCCACGAGAGCAGATTTTCGACTCTCACAGCAATGCCTTCCGAACGGAAATCCTCGCCGCAACCAACGGACGCGGTGTCGATATTGCTCTCAATTCTCTTGCTGGTGAACTTTTACACGAGACCTGGCAGTGTATCGGTGACTTTGGTGCAATGATTGAAATCGGAAAGCGTGACTTCTACGGGCACGGAAAAATAGACCTCGTCGGCTTCACGGACAACCGCAGCTTCATCGGCGTGGATGCTCACCACATTCAGCACGCCCGCCCTGATTTGTGTGGAAGACTCATCCGCGAGTTGGCTGAGTTGAGTTCCGCAGGACACATTCAACCAATCCGGCCAATCAAGAACTTTGGTGTAACAGAGATTGCGGATGCATTCCGTTACATGCAAAAAGGCACACACATAGGCAAGATCACGGTGACTATGCCTGAGGATCCGAAGGTCTTCAAGGAAATCACCTGCAAGAAACATCATCCTAAACTCAACGTCCACCCAGACTATTCATATCTGCTGGTTGGTGGTCTGGGAGGTATTGGTCGCTCTATCGCTCTGTCGCTCGTTCTCAATGGCGCCAAACACCTCATATTCATCTCCCGTTCTGGAAGGTCATCAAAGAATGAGCACTTTCTCCAGGAGCTTGAGGTCCTTGGATGCTCTGTTCAAGTATTGGCAGGATCAGCTGCGGATCTCAACCTGGTCAAGCATGCGGCTAAGACTGCTACAAAGCCTATCCGCGGTGTCATTCAGCTTGCCATGGTGTTGAACGATCAAGCCATCGGATCAATGACCTGGGATGCATGGAAGGCAGCCACTGAGCCTAAGGTCGCCGGCACCTGGAACCTACACCACGCAGTACCAGACGTTGATTTCTTTATCATGTTCTCTTCGATAAGCGGCTTGATGGGTCAAATTGGCCAAGCAAATTACGCAGCGGCAAACACCTTCCTCGATGCTTTCACACAGTACCGCCACAGTCTTGGACTTCCCGCTTCCGTCATCGACCTGGGCGTCATGGAGGATGTTGGTTTCGTCGCCGCAACCGAGAATTTGCTCGATTACTTCAAGTCACAGTCCTCTACAACGCTGACTGAGAAGGATATCTTCGATATCGTGAGGCTCGCCATCACCCGCTCAGACCCTACTTTGACTTGGAAGGGTGATGGCTTCTCGGACCAGGGCCAGTTTGCTCCAGGTGTGCGCACTACTCTCTCAATGTACGACCCCAACAATCGTGTGATCTGGAAACATGACCGCCGTTTCGCTATCGCACGAACACTTGATGTAGAGAACAGCTCCGCGTCCACTACATCATCCAACTTGAAGGCTTACATATCCGGCCTAAATTCTTCGTCTGATGAAAGCGTGGAATATGTAGCCAAGGAAATTGGCAAGACGCTGTTCGGATTCCTGATGCGGACTGTTGACGACATGGACATTGATGAGTCACTGAGCTCGATTGGATTGGATAGCTTGGTAGGCATTGAACTGAGGAATTGGACGAAGCAGCAACTTGGGTATGAGATTAGCATTCTCGAGCTGATGCAGAGCACACTAAGGGATTTGGCAAGGGGTGCTGTGGATTCTATTCTTGCCAAGCAGAAGTAGTTGGAGTAGTGGAAGACTTTGGGTAAAAAGTTCACTCCAAGGTCTAGGCTTAGAATTTCTCAAAGGCGTTCTTGGTATATAGTACGTTATTTGGATATGCACACGATTGCCAATCTTCACTTTCACGTAACTCTCTTCTCTTTCTACTGTTGGTTGACAAGCGCGGGGCTCTCGATGACTGATGCTTGGCATATTGCTGTTGCAGTTTTTGTTTGGCACAAATATGTCGAGCTAGAAACAGCAAGACATCTTACAATTCGTGGCACGCAAATATTATAGAGAAGCATCAGTATTTTTGGAGCTACTTCAAGTCCGCTGATTCATATTCAGCTTGTCCACTCCCTTTCTCCTGTATGCACCCACTGCCCAGCATGCTTCAATTCAATCAAGTCTTATCGTTCTAGCCAGACTCAGAAGCTTAGTCGAGTCGTTCTTGGACTTGGCCAAGCCATCGAGCTAGGAGTTCTTGGTCGTGTGACCGGCGAGGTCCTGGTTGGGATTATCCGCTTTATCAGTCGAGGCTAGGACCTGAGCGTTGGTATCGTTGACAAAAAGGCCACTGACGTTCATGGCGTTTGGGTTGTTCTGAGTCTTTTCAGTGGCTATATCGACTGGAAGGGTGTTCTCAGTAAATACCATGGTTCTTAGTTCTTCTTCCCCATGTTCTTCAAGGGTCTGGAACAGGACACGAGATGCATTCCTAGCACTTTTGACTAGGTCCCACAGCCGGGCCTTAATATTGTTGAGATCCTCGCGGGTAACTGGATGGAGATTATGCATTGATTGATACAACTCTGTAATATTTTTCTTGAATTTATCCAGTAGCGGGTGTGATACACCGGCAGTGGTATTTTCGAATTTCGTCTGAAATTCTAAGAGTGTTTCCATGCACTTTTCGACCTTTACTTGACAGCTTTTCATTTGATCCGTGAGCTGTTCTCCCTTTTGGAACAAACGTTCGGCTTCTTCCTTGGAAGGGGGGACATGTTACTGTGACGAAGTGCTTATTCGTAAAGGGAAGAATGTAATGTTATTGCTTACTTGTCGCGTGTTGGGATGCGAATGAGAGCTAGTTGTAGAGGTGACGAACCGCTAAATGATAAGACACGGGTGGATATAGACTGCAGTGAGACAAAACAGCCCCACTTTATAGGCAGAGCTCGCCCTCCGCCTGCTAGTGAAAATGAACGGTGATGGTTAATTTGGCTTACTTCCTGGTAGTAAACAAACTGTACTCTCGTGCTGCAACTTTAGAATCATCCAATCCATACTACACAATTACTTCTACTCTCTCTCTCTCAGGAAAAGAAATCCACACATAATCCATTCCGGTATTCTTTTCCACTAAATTGTTGATTTTCAAGCACTCTTTTGGCCCTAGAGATGGCACACTCGCGCGGATATGGCTGGATCGGTCATTACCTCAAACTTACTGGGCATACTTGCATCAACAAAAAATGGGTTGCGTTGCCTTTAACGGGTGTAAATCCTCGTGAATTTGAGGATAAGCCCAACAGTAAGTTATATGACTTACTTGAGCTTTACTGTAGAATTTTAGTCTTGGCATCTTACCGCTACATTCATGATCTGATATGCAAAAGAGACCAACATGTCGTTTGAGATGGTTGCATTTGCGCGTTGTATGCGGAGCCATGTTGATATCTCGAGCGGTACTCTCTTGTTGATGTAGTGTGTTATCCTGCTTGTAAATCATTTCTTGCTACATAATAGAAATGAGATTTTGAGACGTTTGTTGCGGGTCGGTAGGAAATCAGAGACCAGTGGGAGAGGACCCTGTTGAATATTTCGTTATCACAATCGCCTCCACTTCTGCGTTGCCAAGTGCACCGATATTAGCCAGTAAGCTGGAGTACTGAATTCTATGTTGATGCATGATTAAAGTTCACAGTTCAGGGTGGTCCAGAGATGGCGATTATCGATGTTGTTTGCATATCCGTCATAAGTCCAGATATCACGCATTGAGGCAACAGCGGGCGCAAGAAATCCAGACCAAGTCGTGGGAAATTTCAAGCAAATTGATTTATGTTTCAATCTAGTATGCATATGCGAGAGGAGCGACACTGTGGAGGGGACATGACGCGGGGCCGAGGCTGGGGTGCCTGGCGATCGGTGTTCGTGCACGTCCCCCAAAACTTTTGGTGACATCAACGTCAACCGCGTCGTCTATGCACAGAGAAGAACGTTGTAAACCCACCCAGCACCAATGAAGCCGCCAAATTCCATGAGAGCAATTGGCTCAATTCGAGCCCATGTCTCACAATCACCAAATTCTTGTCTGTTCCAAAGACCTGTGCGATTCCACAGATCTCCCGCATTGGCATCGCGAAGTATGACGACCACACCTCGAAAACACCACAATCCTACACCCAACTCCACCGTCGATCCAACCGAAGTTTCCCACTTCAATGCACTTGCATCATCGTGGTGGGATCCTCATGGCCCTTCACGGCCCCTGCACCTGATGAACCCCCTTCGCCACGAATTCATAACGCGATGTCGTTCCACCACAGCCCCTCCTACACCAGGCCAGAAACTCCGTTACCTAGACATTGGTTGCGGCGGCGGAATATTCGCTGAATCAGCTGCACGGCTCCCAACCACCACGTCAGTCACGGCAATCGACCCCACACCTCAGGTCCTCACTATTGCCGAGGCGCACAAGCGTCGTGACCCTGTGTTGACATCGCCTGGTAAACTCACATATCTGAACACCTCCATCGAAGACTTCCCTCGCCCAAGTTCGGATACAGAGGCGTTCGATATTGTCTCGCTCTTCGAAGTCATTGAGCACGTCAATGCCCCGGGCCCGTTTTTAGAGCACGTGTTACCACATGTAAAGCCCGGAGGATGGCTCATAATGAGCACGATAGCAAGAACATGGACGAGCTGGCTAGTTACGAACGTGATTGCGGAGGATGTGCTGGGTATGGTACCCAAGGGAACGCATGAGTGGAGCAAGTATGTCAATGAGGAGGAGCTGAGGAATTGGTTTGCAAAGCAGCCGGGATGGGGCAGCATGAAGAGCATGGGCGTCATGTATGTGCCTGGGCTGGGGTGGAAAGAAGTCCGAGGCAGCGAGCAATGGGGCAATTACTTTTTTGGTGTACGGAGAGAGACTTGATATGTGGATTGTAAATGTGTGGTTCATGTTATTGGTATAGGTTCAGTGGGAGCATGATACCCCAAAAGTAATGTACAATACATGCAACGTCCTTCAGAACGTTTCCTAGGTCTTCCCTCGATATTTTCGTATGGACTAGTGAGCTGAACGCCCAACCATGTCACCTCACATAATCACCGGATATGCCCAGCCCCTTCTAACAATGCCATCGATATAAAATTTATTCCCAGCTATTCGCTTGCTTCCCGTCATGATTTTGTCGCAGGTCGTTCCTCGAAAGGTGTTGGCATGTTTCTGCTCGAATCCGATGCGCTGTCTGCAGTCTCCACAATATCATGTCCACCCGACATCTTCCATGCCCTCAGGTAATCCTCACCGGTGAAACGCTTGGGGTAGTTTTGTGCGGTGCCCGAGTCCAAGTCTCGTACTTTCTCTAGGCTTGCATCCACAAAGGGTGTCAACTACTCATTGTCAGCCCACTGCCCACTTTGCGCTTCCGAGCCACAACCCTCAAAATTCCCACACATACCTCGCTGTTCTTGGTGCCATGTATCGGATACACATATGTCCGTATTTTACTCCAGTCTGGTGTGAAATTCCCGTATTTGTTAATCGTGCCCATGGACCCCACGCGGTTTCCCTTGTAGTATTCCTTGCCGGCTTGTTTCGGGGAGAGCGGTAGACGCCGCAGCATCTTCTGCAGAGAGGGCGTGGGCTTGAACATTGCGGCGGTCCGCTCGTCGGCGTGTGATGAAGCGAGCAATGCCAAAGCGACGTCGGTATGCGCAGAGGTTGATGGACACTGCGGAGTTCGCGCGGAGGTGGCACGGACCACGACTCGAAAAAAGTGCAGCCAAGATTTCGACTGTTGGATTTGCTCGCCCCAGCGACATTCACCACCACCACAACACCAAGATGCCGCCTCGCATTGCAAGAAGCTCGGTTCAGAGCGGTGGTTCTTCTTCAAAAGGTCGCTCGAATGCGCGAAACCCCAAAAAGGCGCAGAAGCGCGCCCTCGACGCCTATGCGATAGCCGAGCACGAGAATCTGGATAGCCCAAAGATTCGCAAGAACCGCCTAGGCGAATTCGACCCCACCTTCAACAGGAAGCGAGCGCGCGACGACGATGACGACAATGAGGAAGACGAGGACGAGGACGAAGATGAGGGCCCCAAGAGGCGAAAGAGGAGAACGGGTGACGAGAGTTACGACGAAGGCAGTGACTCGGAGGGCAATACCTGGCAAATGGGTCACGTCGACAATGACGATAGCGACGATAGTATAGACTCAGATGAAGCTTTTGGCGATAGCGACGAAGAAAGGTTCGAGGGCTTCACGTTCCGGGGCAGCTCAAAGAGCCAGAAGAACAAGCCAAAAAAGTCCAAGAGACAGCAGGATCTGGAAGATGAGGACGGCGACATCGATCTGGACGAGGGAGACAGTGCAGACGGCGAGGATGACTACGACGAAGACGATCTTGGTGAGGATGCTATTGACTTGGCAACCGCGCTGGATCAGTATGAGGAGGATGAAGCAGAGGAGCGGAGAGAGAAGAACAAACAGAAAAAGCGCGTTTCGGCATCTGATGACAGCGATGACAATGTCATGGAGTTAGACGATGATTTCGAGTCGTTCTCTGACGACGAGAGCGATGACGCCGACGATCGACAGGCGCAACTACAAGACTTGATCTCATCCCTGGCATCCAAGGAGGATGGCAAGCCCAAGGGTAAGAGAGTCGAGGTTCACGAGTCTGCTGCACCAGATGAATTTGGTGTTTCAAGAAAGGTAGACCTACTCAGTCTCAAACCCAAGATTGCAGACGCAGAGAAGAAGAAAGCGCTCAAACTACTCGAAGACGACAAGTCGTCGAAACGTAACGACATTGCGCGGAAACTAGATGCACCTCTACCAAAGCGAGCGCAAGACAAGCTTGACCGTGCCGCTGCCAACGCCAAAGCAAATGAAACTCTCGAAAGGTGGACCGACACGATCAAACGCAACCGTCGCGCTGAGCATCTCATGTTCCCTCTACAAAATGCCAGCGGGGGCGAGCCTACGGGAGAGAAGACCCTCCAGCCCACCACAACCGCTGCTCCTGCAAACGACCTCGAGAGTACCATCCAGTCTATCCTTCAACAAAGTGGCTTGTCTAACGGTAAGGAAGATGAGGAAAAGCTACAGAAGTGGGAGGAGCTACAAACCAACAAGCTCCCTATGGAAGAAGTCCTCAAGCGACGTGCTGAACTGCGCATGCAGCGCGAGCTACTCTTCCGCGAGGAGGTTCGTGCCAAACGCATCAAGAAAATCAAGAGCAAGGCTTACCGCCGCGTGCACCGAAAGGAACGCGAGAAGATGCTGGAGAAGGAGCGAGAGCAACTCAAGGCAGATGGTGTTGATCTTTCCGAGGAAGAGCGCGAGTACAACGATCGTCGACGCGCTGAGGAGCGCATGGGCGCCAAACATCGCGAAAGCAAATGGGCTAAGGGCATCAAGGCTACAGGACGAGCAGTATGGGACCAGGATGCGCTTGATGGAGTGACAGAAATGGCTAGACGCAACGAGGAGCTTCGTCGCCGCGTCGAAGGCAAGACTATCCGCGACGACGAAGAAGGCTCTGATGTACCAAGCGATGAGGAAAGCGAAGATGACGAGCAGTCTGATGAAGATGCACTCCAAAAGTCGCTTGGCAAGCTCAAGGAGAACCCATTTTCGACTGGCAAGTCCAAGTTGGGAGCGATGGCTTTTATGCAAAGGTCAGAAGCTGCCAGACGTGCGGAGAATGATGAGGCTGTTGAGCGCATCCGCCGAGAGCTTGCTGGCGAAGACA